GGGGGGACAAGCTGTCATTTAGTTAATGAGAGCCTAAGCAGCGATCACTGTAAGGACCCTGTTGAAATGCAAGGATTTATTATTTTTCTGGTAAAAGTATCTCATATTGGACCCAAACCCAGCAGGAAGTTGGCCATTTCGAGTGGTCATTTTATGATGATGTTTTGTGTTTTTTTAACTCCTCCTTGGGAATTAATCGGATCAACTTCAGATTTGGTCAGTGCATTCTAAAGACCATTACGTTTAAAAGTTGTGCTAATTGTTTGTGGTGTGTCCGGTGTGTCCGTGCCTTGGCATCAAGTTTCGCCATGAAACAGGAAGTTGTCATACTTTCAGTGTACTATCCTGAACACATCTACATGCCAATACTCAATCTTAGTTATAGTGCCACCTACTGGAAACAGGAAGTAAGTCTTGTGTGGCAATCATCATCTCATTTGCGTGAATTTTTCATGGTGTGGTCAACACATGATGGCCTTCATAAAGCGAGTGCAGCACACCCTCCATACACTCGATCCCTTCTGTTGTATTAAATTAAATTAAATTAAATTAAATTAAATTAAATTTAAAATTTAAAATTTAAAATTTAAAATTTAAAATTTAAATTAAATTAAATTAAATTTAATTTAATTTAATTTAATTAATTGATTAAAGATCTTGGCTTTTTGAAGCCTAAAGTATACTTAACAAAGAAAAAAGTTAAACAATGTTAAACAATATACAGAAACTTCTCATATGGAGTAAAAATGACATTAATTTAGTCACAATTGTTCAAAAGAAAAAAAAAAGTTTGTGAGCCATCTCTAAATAATCACCAAATGTTTCATTTTCAGTCTCTGCTGCGCTTCACAATCCTCCGTAGGCAAAGACTGATTTCCTTCTTAATCTTATTAAACAAAGGCTTTGTATAAAAAGAATAATATGAAGCCAAATTAATTTCATTTTCCATTTCATTTAGATCACACAAATGACTAAGTCGGTCTTTCTCAACAGGACCAAGATGATGTCCAGATCTGTCACAGAGGAATAATTTCCTCAGTCTTATTTAGGCCCATAGAGATCTTTTGTTCTTGTCATATATATATCTCATATCATTCTCCAAACATTGTGTCATGTGTCATAATAGTCCTTTTGAATTTAAATTTCATGTATTTCTAGAAAGTCAAATTTAATGGCCACATGGGAAACTCTGCATCACTGATTGGGGCTATTGGAGATATCATGATAATATAAACTCCTTTAAACTTATTTTTAATTCAGTAATTCATCTTAAAAAGATATTTTATACATACTTAACATAACGCATTCTGCTATTTTACTAAAGAAATGCCCAAATTGCCACCAACGGCACTACATGAACTCTCAAGTAAACAGCACAAACTAAAAGATGCAGCGATAATACGAAATATTTAACCATCAGAGACTGACGGCTCTCTGTAACAGGGAGAGAGAGGGAGAGCTGCAACAGAAATGAAGACAGAAAAAAGAGACAGAAAAAACACAGCTTTGGTCCTTCATATTGATCTTTCAACAATGGTTACAGTGCTATCACAATTAAAACCACATTGATGACAGTCACAAAAAATGTATGTAATGTAAGAGCTTTCAATTTAACACTATAAATCCAAAACACTTGCCCAAAGAATATTATCTTTCATGAGAAACACTATTTTCTGACCTGACTGCTGTGGCCGTCTTCCACTGTAATTTGTATTTTTCAGGGTCAGGAAGAAGTCTACCTTACATGCTGTGGGTACTCTTGTAAAATTACAAGATTTTATAAAACTCACTTAAGGTGATTGTTTTTGGTAGAAATCATGTGACCTATATGCAAGGGTGTTTTCTGACATTTCTTGTTATCAGTGACACACTACTGCATGTCTTTCTTAAAATTTTACCAGAAAAAGGTCAACTAAGCATGTGATTTGCGTTTCAATTATCAACTTAACAAAGCCCAAACCTGTGTGTGCATCATCAAGTATCTGTTCTTAGGGAAAATCCTTAGCCACATCATTATGGTCCTTTGTAGAGCTCATATGGCTAGCTTTTTATTGGGTATGCTTCTTTATGCATGTGTAGATCAATCAGGTGG